CGAATCAAATCTCAGTAAGCTTGTTCTGCTTAAAAATGTGTGTAAGGTGCTAAGGTTATTGCCTGGCATATAGTTAAGGGCTCAATAAATGGTACTAAATTTATTATTATTCCTTTTCTCTTCTTCTTCCCCTCTTTTTTTTTTTTATTATTTAAAGAGAAAGAAACAAAAAAAAATGGAGAAAAAAAAGGTTAGAAATACAGAATTACAGAAAAATAAACAATAAAAAATCACTAGTTGATAAGTTATATATTGTCATCTTAGAAATAGTTGTTCAGGTTATAAAATTAAAGCATATAAAGTGACATTCAAATAGTGATACTGCCAACAGTTCTGCACAATGATCCAACAAAAACTTAGTAATATGGTTATCAGTCCTACACACTTGTATTTCCCCCACCCCCTTTCTTGACTTCATCCTAACTCTGGCTAGGATCACCTCTAGTACCAACCCTGTAGGGTTGATGACTGAGGGCTAATTCCAAAACTGACAATGTCCTCTGATACTGAGAGAACTGAAAATATAATTCCAGTGGTTTCCATTTACTGTACATGTACTATGTGCCAGCAGTTCCAGGAACTTTACAATAACGTTCTTCACAGAAACCATACGAAGCCACCATATTCTTATTTAATACGTGAAGAAACTGAGACTTAGAGAAGTTATGTGACACAAAGTCATATTAGTAAGTCAATAATTGAATCGGCCTGTTCAACTCCAAGGGTCTTGTAATCTTTTTCTATTTCATTACATGGCTACATTATGTCTTCCTTTTATTTATTTACATTTTACCCACAGTTCATGACTCAAGCTTGCTTTATTTCGTGATTCCTTTTCCCTCTTGTGTTCTAGAAATGTCTAGTTTGCTTCAAATTTACCGGTACTTTCTCTTAACATAGTCTTGTGTGTTCTCAGATTGTTTTATATATGTATGTGTGTGTGTGTGTATATATATATATATATATATATATATATATATATATATATATAAATAACAATCTGAATACAATAGGTGCTTCTTGAATACAATAGGTGCTTGACAAATACTTGTGAATGAGTGTTAAGCTTATCTTCCCAAGCAGAAAATAAGTTCTTGAAAGACAGACACTGTGTCATTTAAATCTCTTCATCTTTTCAGCAAAAGCACTCATGGTCTCCTAGGTTGGCCTATGGCTAGAGAACCAGCTTGTTTCAGAACTGTTCTCACAGGTATCATGCTCTTGGCCCGTGGCCTAGAAACTTTCTCCTTATAAAGATGATTCTCCTCATCCTAGTACGGCATGGGAGTTGGCACACAGTAGGAGCTCAGAAATGGTTTAATGAATTAAACAGAAGACTGAGTCAGCAGTTATCCCACTGCAGACGCATGAAGGGACCCTATGTCCATCTTCTGTCACTCTCATGAAAAGGAAAAGGAGACCTGGAAGGCTGTCAACGAAGTTGGAGAAGACAAGTCTGGTGACCTTGTGTATAGCCCTCGGCAGTCAGTGTGGCATTCTTTTTGGTCCAAGACGTCTCTTTTGACTACAGAGCCCCGTAGTGCTTTCCAGAGCCCACATCTCACTTTCTCATCATTAAAATATGGGACAAACTCTGAACCCTGTTACTCTGTTATCTATAGATCTATCCAAACTGCTTGAACAACTACTTTCCATCTCTCCCACCTCAGAGGTATCTGGACTTCTTTGTCATTTACCCTGAGCTCATTCCTTTCCTCACATCTGTCCCTCATCCTAACCAAAGCAGTATTCTTAGCTCCAGAGAGCCTCTGGGTCAGGCCAGCAGCAAGAGGAAAGAGCTGCTCTCTGCTTCTTAGCAGCTGTGCTACCTGGTTGGTCCAACTCAGTCCCTTAGTGCTCCCCATCTCTGCACCTGGCTGCCTCTCCTCTGCCTTTTCTTCAAGATGTTAAAAACTTGCCATAAAAAACAAATACAAAATGCTGTAATTAATAGCCAATTCTAAGCCAACCTAGCATCTCTACTAATAAACCTCAACACTTGGAAAAAGAACAATAAATTCTACCCCTCTCTGGTTCTGGGGTGGTCTCTTTTATATACTCTCTGTGTGTATGTATGTGGGTAAGTATGTCTACATATATATTTATTTTCCTTTATTTCCCATCCAGGGAGGGGCAGAATAATGAACTGCGTGCGTCAGGGAAGATGAATCTGAGATACTAGGGAGCAGTGCAGTAAAAAGATTAAAGTGTTATTATTGTTGGGTTTTTTTCCCCCATGGTCCATTGTGACAGCTCGACCGTCATCTGTAAAAAATGTCTCAGCGAGAGATAATCATCGGAAACTCAATAAAGCGTCAGGGGGAGCCTCAGCCCCCATCAATCACTGGGTGCCTGGAAAATTTCAGCCCTCTGTCTCCCTTCCTGCTATCCATATAAATGTCTCTAATATATTTTGTGTGGTGTGTGGGACCCATTCCTGATTTGGAACTTTTGATGAAAAAATATTTATACACAAAATATGTAAATCAGTTAAAAATCACAAGACTAGTTCTTTGCTACCCCATCACACTTTCTCTTAGTTTTATAAATGTATCAAATTTATTCTTTTTAATAAAACATGTCAACTAGTCTGTCCTCTTTTAGAACACACATACACATGCACATGGAACACACACACATTTGGAGGCATAAAAAAATGGAAACAACCTCACTAGCTGAGAGATTTAATCTGGAAGTTGGCCAAAATGCCTGAGTGACAGTGCATTGTCCACCCTGGTGACTCTGCAGTGGCTGGTAGTTCTGAGCAATGACATGTAGAATCACTGACCCTCAAGGTGTGATGAGACTCTAAGGGGCCTGGATAGGATGAAGGAGGCAAGAACAGTATTAAGAATAACTTGCTTGGGGGCTGGGGATTTAGCTCAGTGGCATAAGCGCCTGCCTTGCAAGCAGGCAGTCGTGAGTTTGATCCCTGGTACTGATAAAAAAGAAAAAGACAACAAAACAAAACAAAAAAACAAAAACCAAAAAACAACAAAAAAAAGAATAACTTGCTTGAACTGCTTTAGATTCCCAACCCTTTGAATAGGCTAGAGGTTCTCAGCAGACTTAGTAAGGACACAGGAGGTTGATATGGTCCCAGGGTTCTACTCAAGAGTAGGAAACAGTTCTGGTGGTATTTGATATTAGTGCTCTGCCTCAGTTTCCTATAGTGTCAACATCACAGAGTTGCTGTGCATACAGTGCCAATGAAATGTTACTAGCTATTGCTGCAGCTATGTTTTGTGATCTTGTTGTCTTCTCTCCCACTTCTCCAATCTGGAAAGAGTCAGTTCCTGTAATGCCCTCTTCTCTAGGACTTTCAACACTCATCTCTTTCTAAAGCACAAATCCAAGCAGGCTGGATTTTTGGCTGCAGTGTATTAATGCTTCATCTTTATGGCTTATCACTCTCTAAACTGAATCTGTCTGGAGGCTGTCCCTAACACCTTCACTTAGCAGCCCAACTTTTCTGTTTTCACCTCTGGCTGTTACATATATAGTATTCTTCTTCTCTACCACACCCACCTGCACCCAACTACTAGCCTGCCATGCAGCCATCTAAATCTTTCTTAGACTTTGAGGTTCAAGTACTATTTTATTTCCTTGATTGTTTCAGCCAGAGATTCTTTTCTATGAGCTCTGATTATTATTGTTATTTGTACCTTTGATGGACCCTTTTCAAATACTGTCTTAGTCTTATCTTCAATCTTTATTATTAATTGCTATTCTTGCTAGCACCTTACATTTGCAGGACACCTTGTACCTTTCTCAAGTGCTTTCATAAGTATTTCAACTGGTTCTTATAACAACCTATGGTATAGGAAATACTATTCTCTCTAGATGAGAAAATCAGTTCTGAAATACAGAATTGCCCAAGGTCACAGGATTAGGTAAGAGTCAAACTATTCCTCAGATTCTATTATCCACTTGAAGGATGATAGTTTGCTACCATGAAAAAGCATTTGGAAAGCTGGCTGAAAGATGCTGAATGAAGTTCCACGAGAGTATGAAGAAGATGAAGCTGAGGATGAGGGTGAGGAAGCAAGAATGGAGAACAGAGGTTTATATTGATGGAATTTCTTCTGTGTTCTGTTTTTGTTACCAGGAATTGAACTTACAACCTTGCATTTGCCAGGCAGGTGCTGTGCTGCTGAGCTATAACTTTGGTTGTCTTTTTTTATTTTTTTTTGACAGGGTTCACTTTGTAGTTCAGGCTAACCTTGACTCACTATGTAGCCCAGGCTGGCTTTTTTTTTTTTTTTTTTGTCTTTTTCGTTTTTATTGGTACCAGGGATCGAACTCACGACTGCCTGCTTGCAAGGCAGGCGCTTATGCTGCTGAGCTAAATCCCCAACCTCCCTCCCCTTTTTTCCCCAGGCTGGCTTTGAACACATGGAAATTCTCCTGCCTCAGCCTCCTGAGTGCTGGGATCGAAGGTATCATGCCTGGCTTACGTTCTGGGCTTTAGGTAAGTGGTAAATACAGTACCGCTACCTCTCTCAGTATCTTTTATATTACAAATAGGAGACAATCTCTGAGAAGGATATGAAACTGCTCTAGGTGTCACAACCAAGGCTTAAGCACATAGCTTCTCTAGCAGTAAAGTTTAAAGTGGCAAAATAAGATCTTTTTTTAGGGAAGTGAAGGTTGAGATGAATTTTTTAAGCAGTTCAAACACAAGACTGAAACGAACATCTGTAGTCCGGATTGTGCTACTCAGAGTGGGAGCCTGGTAGAAATGCAAAGTCTCAGGTCCCCTTCAGACCCACTGAATCTCTGTGGTGGGGCCCAGGAATCTGAATTTTAACAAGCTCTCTAGGAGAGTCCCGTTTCCCTGGGAACCTTAGTGTTCTCATCTCAATTTGTGCTCTCTAGCAATGTACATTCTCTTTGTGGGTTTGGGTAGGGCTGGGTGCATGGTGCTTAACTTATACTGAGTAGATGAACTAATTTCTGGTGAGGAGGAGAAATATTAGTATAGAGAGCAGTTCCATTACCGCCAGTGGGGACTCCTAGCCACCTCCTGAACTCCAGGGCACTTGTCCACTGGTTTGTGATGAGCCAGCTTGCACCGTCCAGTCCCCCATCTGAAGACAAGAGATGGGAAGGTCAGCTGGAACAGGCCAGGACCCACAGCCCCCGGGGGTGGGGGGAAAGGGGCTCTCAGAGAGATGAAGTTTGGTACTGGCAGGTCCTGCCTGGCAAAGCAGGCCCTCTATCCTCAGAAGGGCTGTATGCCAACCCAGCTTCTGCAGGACTCATCTTTATTCAGCTGCCATTTGAAGCTGAGAAGAGAAGTGGATTTATAGCCTTCTCTAGTCACGTTTCTGCCATGTTTTATTGTTTTAATTCTACATATGAAAGGCACTCAGAGTGCTCGCTTGCATTTCTGACAGCCCCAGACATTTGATGTTTATAACAGTTACTTACAAGCAGCCAGCGGCATACCAGGCTGGGCAAGTTGTTTACTGTTACTACTAATTTACTGCATCCTCCACCAAGGATTGGGCCCCACCACCCATCAGCCAGTGGAACTCTCCTGGAGTGCCATGGGTGGGGCTCAAGGCATCAAAGGGAATGCTGTCATGACTGGCAAATGAGCTGGCAGAGGGACAGCCAATCTCCATGTTCCCTTCACACTTGGATGCCTCTGCCTAAGCTGTGTCCACTGCTTTGAATTTTTTCTTTTTAAATCAGTAACAGGGATCGAACTCATGACTGCACACTTGCAAGGCAGGTGTTTATGCTGCTGAGCTAAACCACCAGCCTGAATCTTTTTCTTTTTGACCCTCCTCTTCGATCGTAAAGAACAGCTTAAATCCTATTTCTTCTAAGTATATTACTTGCTCCAATGTGGAACCAACAGCTTTTATTAAAAAAAAAAATTTTTTTTTTGAGTTAGGGTCTTGCTTTGTAATTTAGAGTGACCTCAAACTTCTGGTGATCCTCCTGCCTCAGCCTCCTGAATGCTGGGACTACAGTCGTGTGCCACCATGCCTAGCTCCAGAGCAAAAGCTTTCAGAATCTTAGAAATCAAACAGCTGGCAGGAACGTTTGAGGCTATACAATATTATCCACTGACCTAGGATAAGAATCCCCAACAGGCAGACTAACTTAGCAGCCTGTGAATTGTTGAGTTGCTCGCTATCTCTTAAGTGGGTTTCCTACCTTAACTTAGCCACTTCCACAAGAAAGTCTTTGTCCAATGTCATTGTTTTACACAGATGTGATTATCTCTAACCTTTCAAATAATCCTATAAAATAGGTATTGTTATTCCTATGTAACAGATGAAGACTGAAAGTGAAGGATTTTTAGTCACGATCTCATAGCCAGTCAGTGACACTCAACCTACCTCTGAAGATGCCATTTGGAGGGCTGCAGAGAATGGAAAGAATGGCCAGTTCAAGGAGATTTCCATACCATGTATTCCTGGGGTACTGCACCATAGCAAGCCTGCCCTCTACTTAGAAACACAAACCCTGACAAGACTGGGGAAGTCTACAACGTACCTGGCTGAGCAGGCTCATGCTAAGGTACGGTACTTACATGGGAAACAAGAGAAGGGTTGCGTTAGGCATGGGTAACTGATGGCTGAGTCCCCATCAGGACAATTATCTTTTTTCTTGGTTCTGTCTGTTCTCAGCAGGCAGAAAAGACATAAAATGTATCTGATATCTTGTACATTCTTGGTCTGGGTCTTCTTTCTTTCTCACACTCTACACACTGGTAATACTCCTACACCCTTACTTTAATGCCTTTCCCTGAGCAATTTCAGTTACAACAACTCCCACACAAATGCCAGTGACTCCTAAGTCCCTATCAGTTCCTCTAAACTCTGGATCCACATACTCAATTGTTAACCCAAATCAGAAACTGAAGAGGGCACCATGACTTATCTTTTTCCTTAATGTCACACAATTCACTGAGTACTCAACCTCTACATCTTCCTAACATATATTTTCTCCATTTCTAAAGATCCTCTGTAGGCGCCACCAGAAATGTGAAGTGCAGTTTGAGGGAGAGGAACACAGCTTCTCATCATTCTTGAAGGAGTACATCATCCCCAAGAGGTCAAGAGCCACTGCTAATCTCTCTCCTCCAAATTCTCCTCTATTCTGTCACACGGCTCATCTAAAATGCAAATATGAGTTCAATATTTTCTGCTTAAAATCCTTTAGTAGCTTTTGCAATACAGTGTAAGCCCCTTGGAGCTGTCTTATAAGGTCCTTCCATATATAACTTTCCCTCTCCAATTTCTTACTGTTCTCCTCAAGATTGTGGCAGATGATGCTACATGCCAGCAACCCTCTCCACCTTCTACCTCTGTGCCTGTTATTTCCTATGCCCAGAAGATCTATCCTTCTTAGCTAGTCTGGCAATCTCCTACTCAAAGTTAAGGTTCATTTAAAAGTTGCTAACCCTGTGACACATCCCAGACATACCCTGCTCTCAGACAGAGCTCACCACTACCTCTACCAGTGCCACCTACATCCTCTGTATAGCTTTGCCTTTACCACTCCATACTGTGATTCCCAGCTCACAGATCATCTTTGCACTTGACTACGAAAACTGCGAAGGGCTAGATCTTGTATGTTCTTTTATATATTTCCAGCATCTAGAAGAGTACTAATATTCAGTAAATACATGCTGAATTATAAATAAATGAAACTAATAAGCACTGTGGAGTACTCTACAATCCACATGGGTATTTTATCTCTTGATCTTCACGACAGTACTGATAAGGTAGATGATGGATGTACTGCTAGGGGTAGAGAGATCTTGCCAAGGTCACAAATTACAACTAACTACCTCTCCTCAGTATTAACAGTAGCCTGAGGACCACTGGAATATTTATTAGAAAATAAGTGAACTTAATGAATTTTGGCACCGACTACATTCCAATAATGAAGGATGGCCGGTAATCCTAAGTATGGATCTTTCTCATGACATCTAGGCACACTCTGGGTGGACACGGGTGGACATAACATCTTGTTCCATTTTACCCTCCTCATACATACAAGTAAGTCACATAATGTACCACAAAATAGTCAACACAATCCAAAGAACACAGAACCATAGATTCTTATGTTTTTGTCTACTTTATCAGTGAGGATGACCCAGAGCTAGGCATAGGGCCTTGTTTATAGCAGGCAGTCAGTGAATACTGGTAGAAGGGAAGGAAGAATGAGTTACTTTAAATGAAAAAGGAAAGAAAAAAACAAGGTTAAGGAGGAAGTAAAGGATCAAGCTGGTAAAGAGAGCAAAGAGCACTGGGATGATTCTTAAGGACTGTTATCCAAATCCTATAATGAGAAAGCAGAGACCAGCACACATACAACTGTAGACCTTGAAAAATATGCTGGCAGAAACAGCATAACAAAGAAAAGAATAAAAGTCCAAAGAGGGTAGATTTTGCAAGCTATTGTGAGATGATCAATGATTCCTGACAAAATTCTAAATTTTTTTCTTTTTTAGAATGTATTTCTTATAATGGTTCTTGATTACTGGGCATAAAGACAGGCTCCTTGAGAATAAGACATTAGGGGCTGGGGATTTAGCTCAGTGGCATAAGCACCTGCCTTGCAAGCAGGCAGTCATGAGTTCAATCCCTGGTACCGATAAAAACGAAAAAGACAAAAAAAAAAAAAAAAAAAAAAAAGAGAATAAGACATTAACATGGCAAAGTAACCTAATTTCCTTTTTGGAAAAAGTTATTGGGGCAAGTAAGAGAAATGTTAAATTCATTTTTTTTTTTTTTACTTCAAAAAGGAATCTGAGAATGTTTCTTAACAATTTTGTGATTGAGATATTTACTAATAAATGGGCGCAACTTGAGACCATACTCGTAAGTGAAATAAATCAAACTCACATGTATAAATACCATATAGTCTCCCTACTGTAAGAAATAGTAAGAGTACATAAGAGTTTGTGGTAATCATGATTCTCCATTACATTGCTTTGAAGCCTTATAATGATCGCATTCATTAGTTGGAATGGGTTTATCTTGGTTTGTTTTGATTTTTTTATCTGTGATGGTATGAACAGCTATTTTGAAGAAAATAAGTCATTATAATAGCCAGTACTTATATAATATCATCTTACTCTGAAGTCCTACCATGCTTTTGCTTTTCTGTTTCCATTGGCTCTATCATGTTGTATCTCATTGGATTGTATTACATGTGATAGTATAAACAAATTTTCTATGGAAAATGAGATAACACAGTAGCCATTATTTATTTTCTGTTATTTGTTTCAGAATGCCCTGTAATACTCTCATTCTCTTAAATGGTTTTATACTATTTTGTTATGTTTGATACTACTGTATATGAAGTTATGCTCAACTATTTCAAAGAAAGAGACATTGTGGTAGTTACCGTTAATTATGGGTTGTCTTCTGGTGAAATACTGTGTTACTTACATTGTTCTGTTCTGATCTGCTTTGTTATGTCCTGTTTTGTCTTAATCTCTTTAAAATAAAAAAAAAATAATTTTGTGGACAAAATGGAGAAACAAAGAATGGAAAGGAAGAAAGTCTGGTTGAAGACAGCTCTGAAAGCTGAATCATGCATCAAAATTGTCCTGATCACGTGCTCTAGGACTTTGCATAAGCCCTTATAAACATTTCAACCTATGTTGTCACTGATCTTGTCTATCTAACTCACCAATGGCTGGTACACAGGAATGTTACCAATAAACAATTTTTCAAAAATAAATGAATCTATAGAAAGCCTACTCACTAATTTGCAGATCATACAAAATAGTTAATATTTTTATTTTATGAAGGACATGATAGTCTTTTCCATTATTTTTGTTATCTACCTACCTAGAATGTAGGCTGACATGGTATAAAAGTTAAAAAGAATTCAGAGGAGGCTGATGAAAAGGGAAAAATAATAGATACAGGGGGGAAAAAAAAGAGAAGAGAGAGAAGAGGAGAGGAGAGGAGAGGAGAGGAGAGGAGAGGAGAGGAGAGGAGAAGAGAAGAGAAGAGAAGAGAAGAGAAGAGAAGAGAAGAGAAGAGAAGAGAAGAGAAGAGAAGAGAAGAGAAGAGATCTGGAACAGGAGTGGCAAACTGCAGTGTCTGGTGGGCCAAACCAGGCTGCTGCCTTATTTTTGTAAAGTTTTATTGAAACACATCTATTCTCACGTGTTTCTTTATTATGTATGGTCGTTTTTGCCTTAAATTACTGAACTGAATAGTTACAACTGAGACCAACTGGTTCACAAAATTTTTACTATATGGCCCTTTCCTGAAAAAAGATTACTAATCACTGATCTGTAATGCTGAATGACTACTGACCTGGAGAGAAGCTTTAGAACACAAAGCTACAAAAATTAAACGTAGGCTGTTGGAGACCAACATGACAACAGAAATTGGACTAGATCATCTCACTGAGGTTCTATGAAATAAAAAAAATTTCCTGAGCTCTGCTAAGACCCTGACAACAGATGAGAAGACATTCAAAGAATCCTCACCCTCCTTAATTCTGCCTCACCCACCTTCCTTGCTTTTGGGGAGAACACCTGACAGAACTGAAGAAGGATGGTATATTGGAATGAGTGGGAGATAGCTCATAAAACAAGTTCTCACATATTGGGCAGCAAATACAGGGCAAATTTGATACTTCCAAAATTCTCCTGCTTGAAACATAGAGAACATAATCTCTCTAGCTCACTGGGGAATCCAAGGAGGCACAGGTCATGGCCTGCACATGGAACTGTCAGCTGAGGAGGGGAGGAAAGACATAAGGGTAGATATGAGTACAAATAACCATGGTAAAGGCCAAGATTTAGGGAACATTCAAAAGAACAACTGAGGAAAGTCTGCAATTATTGCCAAGGACAGGAAGCTTTTGTGGAGGATCCAGCCTCTGCAATGGAGCCTCGACAAGGACCAGATTTAGAGAGATAGAAAGGCAGGGGACAACGATTTCACCCTTCATCTGGGCAGTAGCACCCTGATACTCTTGGACAGCCTCCTACCAGTGATTTGAAAAATTTTTTCTCCAGGCCACCAATAACCTTCTACTCTGGGCTACACATATCTGTATTAGCTTGGTGGCTTCACTAATAGCCCCAAGGGGTGAATGTCCTACTCTTCTTGGCTGAATCTGTCTAGAGTCTATGTTCTGATTCTCAGGTGGTCAGGAACTCTGTCCATCTTCATAGCATCACTGCCAACTTCAAAGCAGTTACTGTTCAGTGGTCCTACTGCTGGAAGTCTCAGAGGACTCTCAGTTTCTCTGAGTAAACCAGGACAATGGGCAGGAAGAGGGACAGTCATCTGTACAATCAAAAGCTCAAATGCAAAATTCTCATTTCTATCTACAGCTAAAGCAACATACTTTTTCTCAACACTACTTTGGAGGAACTACTTGGTAGAGGCAACATAGACTGGACTGACCAGGTATCTTCTAATAAACAGGTGGCTAAGTCTTGATACACTGCCTTTTCTGAAATCTCAATAATTACTTCTACAGTATCACACAGGAGGCATTGATGTCAAATCCATTTTACAAGCACAGATATCAAGGCACAAAAAGGTCCACTATTTGTCTTGTTCATACAGTGTTGCAAGAGACCAGTCCCAGAGACAGAATTATATACACTGAACAAACAGTACTCAGTTAAGGGACTTCTGAGGCTGAGGAAACCAGTGAGGCTATTTTCTTATTCCAGGAGAGGGTAAGTCTGCAAAAGGAACATACAGACATTCCCCTCAGTCACTCTGATTATTTTACTGAAACCTGCTTAATTGTCCACTCATCTGAGGATCCCCAGGCCAAGGCACTTTCAGGAGAATGCCACCTGAAATGTGCACTGCCTCCAACAGGTCTTGGACTCAATTTTCTATTTTTTTCCCTAACATTTCTGAAATGATAATATTATAAAGCCAGCAGGACTGTGAAGGACATCTGTTCTAAGTCCTTTGGATTATCTATGAATTTTCAGAGATTCAGGACTTGCAGAGATGCTGGTAGCATTGGCTTTGAGCAATACTGACGGAAACCAAAGGAGGAAAGCTCTTAAAGCAATGGGACAGACCACACTTACCTTCCAAAGAATGGATTCCCTGTTCCTTGGCAGTCTTGTAGACACTGCTGAAATCATCCCCAAGATTTGGGTCAGCTCCAGCAGCAAGGAGAATCTGCACCACACTGGAAGAAATCAGAAAGACAGGAAAGTCAAAAGCAAGAAAGGCCCAGTAGGTAGAGAGCCAGATCTGGAAGCATGTTTGGGGATTGAGTCTGTCTCTGCTTATGTGAAAAAAGAACATGAGCTCTTAGAGTGTAAAAGAAGGGTAGCAAAGCCAGCTCTGAAATAATCAGTCAGAGGATTGGGACATGTTATGTAACACCTTTCTAACTGCCACAACTATAAAACACGAATGATTAATTTAGCAATTACTCATCAAATGCTTACTATATTCTAGGCACTATTCTGGGTGCTGGGTCTATGCTTACAAGGAGCTTAAAATTCGCTAGGAAGGTAACAATAAAGCATGGGAAAATGCATGAAGATTATGAAGGGAGATATACCATGTGCAGTAGAACTAGGGAAAGACTTAAGAAAGGCCTTCCTGCAGGATGTTGGCAGGTTGGCAGAACAATGATAAGGAAACCAGGTAAGATATTAAAGCACATAAGCAGAGCACAAAAATAAAGACATGCCAACAAGGGCAAGACAGGCAGTTTTACATTATTTGTGTCATCCTCCTCTCAAACCCAGGCAGTACAGTATGAAGAGAAATACCCTCCACATGGAGAAAGGAAGAGAGAAGTGAGCACTGGACTTTGCCTAGACTCTGAAGCCAGGACTGTCTCAATAAAATTCAGTGCCAGGCAGTCTTTCAGGGCCGCAGACTCCCCTTAACCTCTGGACTTTACCTATAACCAGGTTAACCCTAGCAGCCCCAGGCTTCTGACTTCCAGGACCCAGGTGCCAGGACTGCCCGACTATTGGATCAGACATGCCCAGAATTTTTGAAAGAGTTGACTGCTGAAAGGCTTTCCCAGACAAAGCCAGTCTGTAAAGACTGGAATATAACCCTTACATTTTCAAATGTATAGTCACCAATGAATGGCCACAAGAGCAAAACAAACAAGTGAACAACAATAAGAAAATCAGGAAACATGACCATAAAAAAGGACTCAAATAAAAGACCAGTAACAAACCCCTAAAAAAATTGGAGATTCATGACCTGACAAAGAACTTAAAAATTTTTAATTGTTTTTAGGAAGATCAGTGAAAATCAAGAAAAGTAGAAACTATTCCTTTTCTTTCTCCCTCCTCCTCCCTTCCCTTTTTGTTTCTTCTTTTCCTCTCCATCCCCCTTACTTCCATTTTGTTCCGAGAAACTATTTAAGGGAACCTGGAAAGCCTATAAATGACCAAAACAATTAATTTTACTGAGGTGAAATTATTTTTAAAAATCAAATTCTGGAGCTGAAAAATACAATCAATGAAGTGAAAAAATATAATACAGAACATCAACAAAACTGACCAAACATAAGAATCTTACGAATTTGAAGACAGGTGTATCTGAAAATATATGGAAGAAAAAAAAGAATGAAGTTTGCAGGATTTAAGGGCCAACATCAAAAGAAGAGTACTTAGTTATAAAAGTTCAAGAAGAAAAAAGACAGTAAAAAGTAAAAAGACTGTTGAAAGAAATAATAGGACTGAGGCTGTAGTTTGGTGGTACAGTGTTTATCTTGTATGTACAAGGTCCAGGATCAAACCCCAGCACTGAAGGAAAAAACAAAAACAAATAAAACAAAACAAAACCAGGAAGGAATAAAGAGGGGGAAGGAGGATCAAAGGGAAAAAAAGAAAGGATTTTGAAATTGGTGGGAGAAAAGAAGCAAATAACATATAAGGTATTCCAATAAGCTAACAATGGATTTTTCTTTCTTTCTTTCTTTCTTTCTTTCCTTCCTTCCTTTCTTTCTCTCTCTCTCTCTCTCTCTCTCTCTCTCTCTCTCTCTCTCTCTCTCTCTCTCTCTCTTTCTTTCTTTTTTGGTCTTTTTTGAGATGGGGTCTCGCTATGCAGTTCAGGCTGGCCTTGAGCTCACTTTGTAGCCCAGGCTGGCCTTGAACTTGCAACGATCCTCCCACCTCAGCCTCCCGAGTGCTGGATTACAGGCGTGAGCCACCAGGCCCGGCTTAACAGTAGATTTTTCAAACAAAGCATTGTAGACCAGGAGAAAGTAGGATATGTTCAAAGCGTTGAAGGGGGAAAAAAAAGAACAACAATACGACAAGGTTGCCGATTCTCACCTCTTTTATTTAAGTTGGTACTAAAAGTTCTAGCCAGAGCCATGAGGCAAGAGAAAATACAAGATATCCAAATTGGAAAAGAAGAATTAAAAAAATCTATTTATGACATATTATATACACAAAACCCTAAAGACTCCTCAAAAAAGCAAAACAAAACAAAAAACAGTAAGAACTAATAAATTCAGTAAAGTTGCAGGACACAAAATTTGACATAAAAATCAGTAGCAGCTGGGTGTGGTGGCACATTCCTGTAATCCCAGCACTCAGGAGGCTGAGGAAGAAGCATCACTGTAAGTTTGAGTCTAGCCTGGGCTACAAAGTGAGTTGAAGGCCAGCCTCATGCATAGCAAAACCCATCTCAGACTAAAAAAGAAAAAAAAAAATTCAAATTCAGTGCATTACTATACACTAATACCCATTTGAAAAATTTACAATAGGTACAAAAGAAAAAAATACTTATGATTAACTTTAAAGAAGTGAAAAACTTGAACACAGAAAACTATAAGATACTAATGAAAGAAATGAAAGAATATTCATGAGTTGAAAGAATATATTTAAAATGTTAATACTACTCAGAGTGAGCAATAGTCAATATAATTCCTATCAAAAATCCAGTGACATTTTTAACAGAAATTGAAAAAATGTCTTAAAATTCACAGTCAAAGCAATCTTAAATAAACTGAGCAAAGCTGGAGGCAATACAATGTCTGACCTCAAAATATACTATAAAGTTATAGTAATAAAAACAGTATGGTATAAATAGACATATAGACCAATGAAACAGAACAGAGTCTAGAAATAAATCCACATGTTTATGGTCAATTGATTTTTGGGGGGGTCTTTTTGACCAAAAAGATACCGAGTCTCACACGCAGTTCAGGCTGGCCTTGAGCTCACTTTGTAGCCCAGGCTAGTCACGTTTTCTTTTTTTTGTCTTTTTAGTTTTTATCGGTACCAGGGATTTTTTCCTTTTTTTTATCGGTACCTGGAATCGAACTCACGACTGCCTGCTTGCAAGGCAGGCACTTATGCCGCTGAGCTAAATCTCCAGCCCCCCAGGCTAGTCTTGAACTTAAAACAATCCTCCCGTCTCAGCCACCTGAGTGCTAGGATTACAGGCATTTGCCACTACATCTGGCTAGTCAATTGATTTTTGACATGGGCACTAACAACATACAACAGGGAAAGGACAGTCTCTTTAGTAAATAGTGTTGGATAAACACCACATCCATATGCAGAACGAAATTAGAACTTTGGGTTTTTTTTGGTCTTTTTCATTTTTATTGGTACCAGGGATCGAAGTCACGACTGCCTGCTTGCAAGGCAGGCGCTTATGCCGCTGAGCTAAATCCCCAGCCCCAGAACTTTGTACCACACCCACACTGTATAAAAAAAAAAAAAATCAACTCAAAGTGGGTTAAGCGAAATCTTGTAAGTTACTTAAGGCTGAAACTACCAGAACAAAACATAGAAGAAAAGTTCTATGACACTGATCTGGGCAATAAAATTTTGGATATGGCCATAAAAGTGCAGGAAACAAAAGCAAAAAGAGACAAAAAATTATATAAATATAAAAAGTGTTTATACTGCAAAGGAGTGAATGATCAACTTATAGAATGGGAGACAATGTTTTCAAACCATACGTCTGACATGAGATTAATACCTAAAATACATATGTAATAACTCACATAGGAAAAAATAGAACAGGGTGAAAGATACCTTTCTCAAAAGATAGATAAATGGCTGGGCTTGGTGTATGCCTGTAATTTCAGCACTCAGGAGACTGAGGTTCAAGGACTGCCATGAGTTTGAGGCCAGCCTGGACTACAAAGTGGGCTCAAGGTCAGCCTGAGTTACACAGTAAGACTCTATCTCAAAAAAAAATTATATAGATGGCCAACAGTTATCTGAAAAAATGCTGAACTTTACTAATCATCCAAGACATGCAACTTACTATAAAACCATACTGAGATGTTACCTCATGCCTGTTAGAATGGCCACTGTAAAGAAGATGAAAGATAATAAGTGCTGACAAGGATGTGGAGAAAACGGAACCCTTGTGTTGGTGGTGGAGATATAAATTAGCATAGTCTTTATGGAAAACAGTATGGAGGTTCCTCAAAAAATTAAAAATAGAAGCCTCCATATTAGCTAGTAATCTCAGTGCTGGGTACATATTCAAAGGAAATGAAATCAGTATGCTGAAGAGGTATCTGTACTCTTAAATTCACTGCAGCATTTTCACAATAGCCAAGATTAGAATTGTGTGACAGTTAAACAGGAATGTCAACTTCATTAGTTTGAGAGCTACCCAGGGGACTAGTAAAGCATTATTTCTGAGTGTTTGGGTGGAGCATGGAGACACGATTTTGGGTACTACAAAGTCTGCCCAAAAAACGTACACAGAATTTGGGTGGAGGGGAAACTTGTATAAATATTTTAGCATTAAATTTACTAAGGGGACCAGAGGTTTAGCTCAGCAGCACAAGCATCTGCCTGGCAAGCACAAGGATGAGTTCAATCCCTGGTACCAAAAAAAAAAAAAAAGAAAAAAAAATTACTGAGACATCATGAGATTAATATGTTACCTTTGGCTTCCACAGTTTATAAGAGGTGCTTAAAGTGGTGGCCTTTAGCTTCCAGACAGAGAACTGCTGCTTGGGCAACCTTGATCATTGAGACTGCCACACACTGCATTTTTAATTTCTTATTTAAGGGCTAGCAGTGTTGTGGGTTTTCTGTGATAAACAACACATCCTGTAGGGTCCCCCAATGAGGGTAACACCATCTGTTGAAAAAAGATCATACTATTTTTCTTTTTCTAAAGTGTATGTACACTTTTTGGGCAGAATCTCTGTATCTGTCCCTGGCCCCTTAC